AGCGTGTCAATCGCATTTCTTTTGCATGTATGCAAACACGCACGCACGCACACACACACACACACGCACACACACACACACACACACACACACACACACACACAGCAGTATTTGGCTTCAGAGGCGGATCAGATTTCCAAACCAATCTTTAATCTTTCATATATTTAATTTCAATCGAGTGTCTTTTCATGCGTTAATCGCACATAGCGAAGGCACAAAAGATCAAACGCGGCGCTCTGACTGACGAGGGACGAGTCTAATCTACTGCAGAACCCCAGTGAACCTCAGCATCTCTTAAAATGATGAAAAGTGTCATCTTTCTCTCTTAAAGGAGGCCGTCCAGCAGATGAGACGATAATTACGGGATGAGAGAACTCAAGGTTAGATCAGGTTCACGTTTCAAACTATTCTGAGGGTTTGTTTTTTTTACAGGGTCAAGGGATGATGTGGAGACAAGAGGTCTAGGGTGAGACCCTCACACACAATGACTAACTCTTTTTGTTTAGTTGTGTGTGTCTGTGCGTGCGTGTTTGTGTGTGTAAATCAGCACAGGCAGGAAAAGAGTTCAATTATTAGGCGTGAAAGTTGTTTGACAAAATTGGAAGTCAACATGAAACAAATGTCACGTAATGTTGGATACGATGATCATTCATCATTCGCTAGCTGAGGAATTATTCAGTTTCTACACAGGGCAATGAAAATCTTTTATGGTGCCACAGTGGCTCAGTGGTTAGCACTGTTGCCTTAAAGCAAAAAGTTTGCAGTTTCGAGTCACGGCTGGGTCAGTTGTCGTTTCTGTGTGGAGTTTGCATGTTCTCGCTGTGTAGGCGTGGGTTACCTCTGGGTTCCCCAACAGTCCAAACACATGCGCTATAGGGGAACTGATCAACTAAATTGGGTATTTGTGTGTGAATGTGTGTTTCCCAGAACTCCCTGCTGAAAAATCCAGCTTAAACCAGACTAGGCTGGTTTAAGCTGGATTTTTCAGCAGGGAGTTCTGGGAAACACACATTCACACACAAATACCCAATTTAGTTGATCAGTTCCCCTTTAGCGCATGTGTTTGGACTGTTGGGGAACCCAGAGATAACCCACGCCTACACGGCGAGAACATGCAAACTCCACACAGAAACGACAACTGACCCGGCCGTGACTCGAAACTGCAAACTTTTTGCTTTAAGGCAACAGTGCTAACCACTGAGCCTCTGTGGCACCCTAAAAGATTTTCATTGCCCTGTGTAGAAACTGAATAATTCCTCAGCTAGCGAATGATGAATGATCATCGCATCCAACATCACGTGACATTTGTTTCATGTTGACTTCCAATTTTGTCAAACAACTTTCACGCCTAATAATTGAACTCTTTTCCTGCCTGTGCTGATTTACACACACAAACACGCACGCACAGACACACACAACTAGACAAAAAGAGTTAGTCATTGTGTGTGAGGGTCTCACCCTAGACCTCTTGTGTCCACATCATCCCTTGACCCTGTAAAAAAAACAAACCCTCAGAATAGTTTGAAACATGAACCCGATCTAACCTTGAGTTCTCTCATGCCGTAATGATCGTCTCATCTGCTGGACGGCCTCCTTTAAGAGAGAAAGATGACACTTTTCGTCATTTTAAGAGATGCTGAGGTTCACTGGGGTTCTGCAGTAGATTAGACTCGTCCCTCGCGAGTCAGAGCGCCGCGTTTGATCTTTTGTGCCTTCGCTATGTGCGATTAACGCTGAGTTTTGACTTGAAAGACACTCGATTGAAATGAAATATATGAAAGATTAAAGATTGCTTTGGATTGGTGTGTGTGTGTGTGTGTGTGTGTGTGTGTGTGTGTGTGTGTGTGTGTGTGTGTGTGTGTGCGTGTGTGTGTGTGTGTGTGTGTGTGTGTGTGTGTGTGTGTGTGTGTGTGTGCGTGCGTGCGTGCGTGTTTGCATACATGCAAAGAAAATGCGAATAACACGCTCTTAAGCTGATTTTTTTAAATAAAGATAACTCGCCCCAAAATTAAAATTCAGCATTTACTCTCCCACATTTGATCTGAATGTATTTTGCTCTTTTTGTTGGGAAGTGTGAGTGCCGCTCTGTTTCATGCAATAATCAGAAAAATCCAGTATATACAGTTGAAGTCAGAATTATTAACCCCCATGAATTATTAACCCCCTGTTTATTTATTTTTCCCCCAATTTTTGTTTTACGGAGAGCAGATTTCTTTAACACATTTCTAAACATAGTTTTAATAACTCATTTATAATAACATTTTGAGTATTTACAATAATATTAGACTAGATACTCTTCAAGACACTTCTATACAGCTTAAAGTGACATTTAAAGGCTTCACTAGGTTGATGTGGTTAACTAGGCAGGTTAGGATAATTAGGAAGGTTATTGTATAACGATGGTTTGTTCTGTAGACTAAAAAAAATATAGCTTAAAGGGGCTAATAATATTGACCCTAAAATTGGGTTTAAAAAAATTAAAAACTGCTTTTATTCTAGCCGAAATAAACCAAATAAGACTTTTTCCAGAGGAAAAAATATGATCAGACATACTGTGAAAATTTCAACCCAGGCTCATTCTGAAAACAAAGTCCCGCGGACGTTTCTGGAGACTGCGAAATACGTCCCGGGAGGTACGTATGGCTGCATTTTGTTTTTTTAAGCGAACGCTGAGGGGCGGTGTGATGCCGTCCCCTTTCGCACTCGCCGACTGACCGCTTACCTGCGTGTGGAGGGCTTTCCCGCCGCAACCAGTTGGTCTCATCAGCTTATCGTGTGCGTCGGCAGACTTCAGATGCAGAGAGGAGGGGTTGACCACGGCGACCGGGTTGGAGTGCAGGGAAGAACGGTTCCAGAAATCAGGTAAGACAAAAACAGAATCCAAAAAATAAAGCGAACGAGTTCATGACAGGGTGAGAACATGGTGAAATCCGAAAACGTGGTGAAAAAAAATCAGACTAGGGCTTTTATTTTTCTGGACGGCTTTTGTAAACCGTCGGTCAGGTTCAGGGAAGTTTGCAGCGGGTGGCTCAATCGGTGAAATTAGTTGGGTTTAGAGAAGGAAGGAGGAGGGTGCTGTCGGCCGATTGGCCGGTCGCATGGTCAATCGTTCAGCCAGTCGGACAGCGGCCTCTCGCGGGTTGATGCAAGAACAGTGCGGGCGCGAACGGCACTTGCGAGAGACGTTCGAGATGTGAAAAAGCGCGCACAGCGGCCTCTCAGATTCACGAAAAGAAAAACTGCAAAAATATGTACCTCCCGGGACGTATTTTGAGGTCTCCAGAAACGTCAGCGGGGCAACGTTTTCACTATGAGCCTGGGTTGGAAAATTTCCTTGCTCTGTTAAACATCATTTGGGAAATATTTAAACAAGAATAAGAAATCAAACGGAGGCTAATAATTCTGTCTTCAACTGTATGTATGTATATATATATATATGGGTTGTTATCTGCGTTAACGTTCTGCGTTAACTATTTGAGAAGTAGGGTAGTTTGGACGTAGCCAGTTTTAAAGACGTCTGTGCTGCCCCCTACAGTACTGGTGGAATATTTCACTTCTCTGTTGTTTGACCTCTGACTCTAATATACAGTATCAGATCCCCACCCTCACACCACCTTTTTTTGAGCTCTGGTTATCATTGATCAACATTTTGTAAGTGCAAATGTAAAAATGCTTAGATGTCTATGCTGCCCCCTACAGTACTGGAGGAGTGTTGCACATACATCCTCTAAGTGTATCTGACCTTTGCATTGTTTGACGTCTGACCATGAGTCTATTCCACTCCCCACCTTTATTTTCGTGTTTGGTTATCATTTATTAACATTTTGTACGTGCAACTATATAGTTTCATTAGACGTCAGTGCTGCCCCCACAGTACGGGAATACTATTGCGCATCTCTGTTGTGTGGATCTGACATATGATTCGAAAATACTCTATTCCTCCCCACCTTTATTTTCCAGTTCTGGTTATCAACATTTTGTAAATTCAACTACATAATTTCTTAGACGGCTGTGCTGCCCCCTACAGCCCTGGAGGAAAATTTCACTTCCCTGTTGTGTGGATCTGACTTCCACATTGTTTGACGTCTGACTCTGAAATAAACTCTCCCCCTCCTCTTACTTTCGACTTTTTATAATCGTTAATCAACATTTTTTAAATGCTAATGTATCATTTCTCTGACATAAATGCTGCCCTCTACTGTACAGGAGGAGTATTGCACATCTCTGTATTTTGACTTCTGAACTAAACTACTCTATTCCTTTACCCCCGTAATCTTCAAGCTCTGGTTATCATTGGCTGCGTCCGAAATTGCATACTTCAATGTGTACGCTAAAAACAGAAATGTCTTAATTCATAGTATTTATATGCGATTTATATGCGTACTATTTCCGGCAAGATTCTGAAGTGCGCATCTAAACCATTAAAATCCAAATGTAGCACCTACCTAGGTTGTACGCGGTTTTGGACACAGCTACTAAGCAATATTTTGTAAATGCAAATGTATAATTTCTGAAACCAGTGCTGCCCCCTACAGCACTGGAGGAGTATTGCACTATATCTTTTGTGTGGATCTGACCTCAACATTGTTTAACCTCTGACCCTAAAATACTCTATCCCTCTCCCCTCTCTCCCTGGTTGTCGTTTTTGTATTTGTCCTCCTACAGTCCGGTCACTCTCATCAGCATGTGTCCGGAGCACTATGAGTGAGTACTACAGTCAGCCATCAGTGGTCTCGTCTTCTTCTTCTGCACCGCATGCTGCTCTCATCAATGCACGCTCCCAACAGCATGCCACCCCCTTCTGTTCATGTTTTATTTTATTTCTAACCTTTTTCCTCAGCTGGTCCGTCTCAATAACTCACAGCCTTTACTGTAGATCACCAGACTCACTTCATGTGTGAAATCTGTTGGGTTTATTTTTGGTGCTGTTATTCATGGTTGTGTTGTGTTTTAGGCTCTGTCCATCACCGCAGCTCCCTCATGATGACACACACTCACGGATAGGGGAGTACGCCAACAGGTAAATCACACTTTTTCACACACACACACACACA